GGGCTGTATCTCATAGGATCATGACCTGAGCCAAAATCAAGAGTCAGACACTCAGCCAAATGAGCCACCCAGGTGCACTAACCCCCCACTCCCCCACCGTGAAGTTCTTTAGAGGAAGGGGGCAAGAGGAGGAAGCCGAGAATGTGAGGTTAGTGGCTTTCAGCCGGGAGGCCAGCAAGAGGCCCCCTCTTTCTATCAGGGAGGGAAGGTTGGTGAGTCTCAGAAGTGAGAGAGAGTCGGTGAGGAGATGTGTCGTTCTGGCGCTCCTGGGCGGGCAGTGGACGCTGTCACTCGTGGAGGAGAGCACCCTGGTCCGTGTTTTAAATGCTGGCTTGGGTGTAGCGAGCCCTTGGTTTTCTGGACTATCCTGAAATGATGCACTTGCCCTTTTTTATGTTCTGCAGGGAAACTCAAGACGGTGCTTCTCTGCTGCCCTGAAATCTTCACCATGCACCAGAGGGACATCGACAGCATTGTCGGAGTTCTCAAGGAGAAATGTCTTTTCACGGTACAGCAGGTGACCAGGATTTTGCACAGGTGCCCGTATGTTCTTCAGGAGGACCCCGGTGAACTGGAGTACAAGTTCCAGGTGAGGGTGCCTGGTCAGGGGTTTGGGAAGGGACAGCCAGTGCTTCAGCTGTAGGGAGGGGCCGCTCCACCGAGGGAGGCCTCAGGCGCCCTGAGGGTGAGTGGATGAGGCGAGGGGCTTAGATCCTCTTTGCAGGAGCCAGAGAGAATCGGCCTCTGGTCTTTCACCCCTTTATGTAGGACCGGTTCTGCAGTTTTTCTGCCATTGATGGGGGGTCACCCAGTCTCACTCCTGGGGGCCAAACGGGGCCTCTGCTTGAAATAGCTAATTTAAAAAGAGCTGAAAATCTTCCTTTCTTTAGAACCTATTCTGCATGTTGATTTTAGAAGTATAATTGTGACAGTTGTCCCAACTTTTGGGTAACAATTATGACAACTTAGGTCAAATTGTTAGATGTTTTCTGAATTTTTTGCCTGTTCTTTCCATACTCACGGTTTTTTCCCTGAGAAAAACAGAACTGAATTTATCTCCCTTGTCCCTTTATTTTCTGCTAAATTTTTCTCAATATGAATTTGAAAATGTTTTGAAAACTCAGTCGTCACATAATTGCCGGGCGTCATGGAGTGTCCTGCCACTGTTAGTTGGGCGGCCCTTTGTGAGTGCGTTTGGACAGCTTGAGGCGATTATGGACCGTAGAAGGGCCGGTTGTAAGTCACTGTGCCTGGGCCTCCTAACTGTGTCTGTGTCTCCAGTATGCCTATTTCAGGATGGGGGTTAAGCACGCGGACGTGGTGAGGACCGACTTGCTGCAGTATTCCATCACCAAGATCAAGCAGAGACATGTGTTCCTCGAGCGCCTAGGACGGTACCAAACCCCTGATAAGAAGGGCCAGACCCAGGTCCCCAATCCTTTACTCAAGGACATCCTCAGAGTGTCAGAAGCTGAGTTTCTGGCCAGGACAGCCTGTTCTTCTGCTGAGGAGTTTGAAGTTTTTAAGAAGCTCTTTGCTCGGGAGGAGGAAGAGAAGTCCGAGAGCCCCATGCCTGACCATAAAAGCTTAAGTCTGGACGAGGAAGAGGAGGAGGAGAAAGAGGAAGAGGAGGAGGAGTGATGGAAGGACAGGAGTGAAGAGCCCATAGATATCCAAGAATGTTTTAATTTTCTCAGAGCTCTTGAGAGCTTCACTTGGATCTTCTCAGGTTATTTTTCCTTCTAAAACTGGTCTTCTAGTGAAAACATTGTTATAAATCACCTGAGAAGCAGGTCAGACTAAGAAGGAACTGCATTAGTTTGATCTGTCGTCGGATCTCTGTGGGGAGGGCCCTGTTCCATCCTGAATGAGAGTTACTCTGAGCTGTTAAACTCAGGGGGACTGAGTATCTCAACATCCGGTTTTGTTTTTTTCTCTGTTACATACGTGGGTGATGATTCCATGATTGTGGGGAATGGGGTTCCTCCCTCTGGTCGAGTCAATATATATTTCCTTCTAGTGATAAAGATACAATTATGAGCAGGCAGGGAGGCTTTTGTACATCACAGCACTTTATTCTATGAAAACAAGTAGCCGGTTTCCCACAGAAACACTCGTGTTTTCCATCCACACATATTGCTTCCTAACTGCATTCAGCATCCGGCAGCGTGAAGGGAGTTGTTAGTGATGTGTGTTTTCATCTCGCACAGCTTCTTGTTGCCATTGGAGGGTTGGGGGGCTGCTCTCTATGTCTGTGAGGACGAGGCCCTGGCTCTGACCTCTCAGGAAAGTTGGCTTGCCTGCGAGGCCGAGCTCACGGCCGGTGGGCCACATCCAGGCCTGAAGGCTCTGGCGGCCACAGGAATGTGGCCTGGAGTGCGCCAGAACAGGAAGGGGCTGGGGCAGTCTGATGTCATCTCCCTATCGCCCGTTTCACACAGTGGCTCCTGAGACCAGAGGAGAAGAGGAGTCACACGGGGTCTTTGGCGGGGCGGGACCTGGTCTCCTTCAGGGGGCCCCACGACAGCATGGTGCTGGGAGTCCCCTCGGGGAACCCGGTGGGCCTCAGGGGTGATTTAAAGAGCGGAATGTGATAGAAGTCATCTCTGAGGTAGAGGCCCGGCCCTGATGGTCTGGGCTCCGCGAGGGAGGGCTGGTGCACCTCAGAACGTCCTGGTGTCCCTCCCTTCGGGGGAGCCGGCACGGGGTTGGTGACGCAGAAGACATTGTTGGTGATGCAACCAAAATCCAGGTCTTGGCAGCATTTTAACAACCATGTGAAAGTTCTGGTGCTCGGCCTTATTTTTCCAGCAGAGACTGTGCAGGAATCCTGTGGGGCAGCGGTTCCCACCTGTTGCGATCTTGACCCCAGGGAACGTCTGGCAACATCTGAGAACGTCTCAGTTGTTAGGACCAAGGGAGGGCGCCGTTGGGATCTAGTGGAGGCGAGCGCTGCCGTTCAACATCCTGCCAGGCCCGTGATGGCCTCACTGCAGAACCATCCAGCTGGGGTGTCAGCGGGGCCGTGGCCAAGGAGCAGCTCTAAAGCCTGGTCCGGTGGATTGTAAGCAGGCTTATGTTTGTTACATTTCTTGTATTTAAGAGAAAAGTCAGTAGCTGCGTGTTTGCGTTCCGTTCCCCCATGCACTGGAGTGTTCTTGTAGTCTGAGCTCTGTTTGCTGTGGGGACTCAGCACCAAGGTACTTCTGTTTTCTCCGGGCTCATGTGTGAGCGTGACCACACAGAGCCACGTTCGGCGGAAGGAAAGTAGCTCAGTGAGTCCCTGTGTGGTGTCGGAGGCCAGTGTCGTGGCAGTAGCTGGCCGGCAGGAGAGTCCCTGCCAAGGCAGCTGCTGGAGGTGGCTGGCCCTGGGTTTGCCGGAGGGAGAGCAGCAGGATGGGTGAGGGATTGCTTCTGTGGCAGCCCACGTGCGGCGGCGGAAGGAAGGTTTTGTCTTCACTGGGTTCTCGGCCGTGGGCAAGGTTATGTGAAAACGAGAGCGTTTCACTCTGCTGGCGTTTTCACTTTTCTGTTTTGTGGCGTCCGAGTGACCAGTACTCTCCCTCAGATGGGCTTTTGTGTCCAGTCGGGGGACTAAGTAGAATTACAAATTTCTATGACTGGAATGGCTAACCTAGCAATTCATGATTGCTCCTTGCATTTTGATGCAGAAATAAATTTCTACGCACCTGATAATTTTCTGATTTGCATTATTACTAATTTCTTCAGGTGGAGTTTGAGTGTATGTTCGAGGAAGACGCTACAGTTTTGTGAAAGAACTGTGTGAAAAAAGCAGTGTCTCATTTAGAATGTTTCCAGGATGAATTGTGATTCCTTTAGCATCAGGAGATGTTTTTACTAGACTTACTAGATTTGTAAAACATCACGATGAGTTCATCATAAGACGCCACCAAGCTCAGGATTCAGTAGACTGTTTCTTGTAGAAACAAACGTTTCTGAGTTAAAAACTGAAACGCTAGTGTTCGCCTCACGGCTGAGGGGCTTGAGGTCATTAGCATCGCAGTAGAAAGTTTCATCTACTTTTCCAGTGATATCACTTGATCTCGCCACTTGCTGGTGATGCTGTAGCTTTCCGTAGGCACACAGCGACAGGTCCCAGGGACACAGCAGAAGTCAGCAGTACGCGTGTCTGTACGTGGTCTCCTCTCACTCCCCCAGTGCCGGAGCCCGCAATGAGCTCCCCCGTCTTCTCCAGGCGGGCCTGGGTCACTGGGGACGCTCTTGAAATGACCGTCTTTCCTTTCTGAAAAGGACAAATCGCATAATACACAGACATATGCACACAAAATTTTAATGAAAACAAAAAGCCTAAAATATACTCTAACTCTTCAAAAAAGTGTTTTTAGAAAAGATGACGGGAAGGAGCCCTCTCTGTGCTGGAATGCAGACTTGGGGCAGTGTCTGTGGGAGGCGCCCAGGGGCTCGAGTTCACGTTGGGTCGGCTCCTAAAATGTACGCGACTCGAGGTGGGTTGGCTTGCTTGCTTTTGGCCTCCTCAGGGAGAAGACTGCTGGTAGAAGACTCTGGAAGGCATATGTGGCGAGGCTGCATGGCCCCCTGTTTGCAGAGACGAAGTGTGTGAACGGCCGCGAGCCGACTGCCTACAGCAGTGTCGCTCAAGGCACGGGCTGAGCATCTCCGGCGTGATCAGGTCTCTGTGGCACCCGGCCCCAAGAGGAGGAAGGAGCCCCTGCTGTGCGCCGTGGGTACCCCCTCGGCTTCCCGAATTGGGGGGCTCGCGCGGGGCTTCCGTGCAGCTCTGGGGTCTTTGCTGCCGAGGTGCGTCATCGGGGCATGGCTTTCTCTGCGCGAGACTGAGGCCTGGGTGACCCGATCGAGCGGGGCTTAGCCAAGTGGGTAGATGAGGTCTTACTGGAACACAGCCACACCCGTCCGGTCACACGTCTGTGGCAGCGCTGCTGTGAACGCGGAGCTGAGTCGTTGCCGCGGAGACCGTCTGGTCCACGGAGCCAAAAATAGTCACTGTTTGGGAAAGGGTTGGAGGCTGGAAGTGTGTAAACCCCATCTTCGTATTTATTGTACTTTCTCTTCCCAATCTGCTGGGCCGGGTGCCGGGTTGCGCCTGCAGCAGACGAGCGGGGGCGATGGTGGAGGAGGGTCCGACGGGCACCCAGCCCTCGGCTTCCCTCGCGGTGGCGCCTCATCGCAGCCCCTTCCTGGCGCCGCCGCCTCTGCCTGGGGGGCTTGAGAGCCGCTCGTCCTCAGCGTGACTGTGAGGTCTCCGGGGGAGAACTGCCCCCCGACCTCGGAGTCCCAGAGCAGGTGTCTGGATGTCGCAGGAGCGTTCCTGGCTGGCTGCCTCGCTTATCCGGGCCGATGCCTGGGCTGTCCCCGTAGGAAACGGCAGCCGGGCTTACAGCACGGGCTGCTAGAAGTGTCGCGGAGCCTGGAGGTGACTCAGCCCAGAGGGCGTCCCTGGCGTGGCCTTGGCCGTCTGTCTCGTAGAGGCGGGGGAGGGAAGCTGCAGAGGGTTCGGGCGCTAGCCAGGACCTGATGTCTCAGGCGCCCGTCTCAGTCCACTTTTAGCCCTGTCTTTCTGGGCTCTGGAAGCTCACGAGGTTGATGGAGTGTAACAAGGACGTCCTGAATCCTTTGAAGGAGAAAGAGAACGGGGCGTGAGGAGAGTGATACCCATACCTCTTTAAGACGCAGCTTCCTGTTCCCCTAGCGGTGCTCGGTCCCCGCCCCCAGGTGGCCCCGTGTTCCTGTCGCATCAGAGCCTCGCTGAGCTCTCCAACACTCAGCAGGGGGAGGGCAGGTGTGCCGAGGAGCTCTGGCTGCACGACCCCGCGGTAGGGGTGTTCGGGCGGCACCGCAGGCCGCCGGCTGCTCCCTTCCGTTAGGCGATGCCCTTGAATTTTGGCTCTGAAGACACAGGCTGTCCCTTGTTGCTCTGGATTGAAATGAACTCCTGTTGGTGGTGTTTTCTCCATTGTTTGAAGAATGGGTGTCCTGGAAGCTAGTATTTGATGATCTGGGAGTTAATTGAGGGTTTCTGATTTGTTCTTATACTAATGGACTTGTTGAGTTTTAGAGAAAGGTACTATTCTTTCAGGTGACTTACTGTGATACAAAGGTTTCAGACCCAAGCTATACTTGCGGGTTCTTGTCCCGGTAGCAAATTGCTCGCGAGCCGTGGGGCGTGTGTTGCATTGTGTGTCTGTGGGGTATGAAATGGGAGGGGAATGATGCTTTTGGGTAGACAAGCTGAACGCAGAGGCTTGTTGAGAAGTCGGCCCGGGGACGGCTGCCAAGGCCGCGCTGTGCAGACCCCAGCCTCGGCTTTCCCCGCTTGGCTGGGGTGGACGCACTTCCTGTGGTGGCGCCTCCCCTGCGAGGCTCTTTTGCTTCTGCTTGTTTGGAAAGGCTCTGAGAAACATTCCTCCTCCATCTCCTCAGTCCATAAGACGGTATAGCCTGTGCTGAAGCTGCCTGTTCCCTGAGGTGCCTCACTTTCCTCTCAACACCAGGAGGATGGACTCGGGAGGCTCACTTACGGAGCAGGAGGAGTGAGCTGCCCGGG